TACCTGGAAATGAAGTGGCATCTCCTGCTCCCACACGCTCCTTCCTCCTTCGCCCTTCAATGATTGGAAGGCCCAAGGCCACCCTCTTTCTGCTTGAACAGTTTTTTTTTTTTTTTTTTTTTAACAAAACTTCGGCACAGGCCGGGCACTTAAGGAGGTGATAAGAGCATCCTCGTTAAGTGGGCCTGCTGAGAAGGCTCCATCTATTGGTGGGGAGCAGCACCTGCTGGAAAGCGGGTCCCGCGTCGGACTCCCAGATTACACCATAAATCTGTGTTGATTGGTAGATACTCGACAGGGAGCATTGATTGCCCTCCTCAAGAGGGGATTAACTACCCGTCAGACCTCAGAAATGGACGTACAAGCACGTACAACTTGAAGCACGTTCACAGCATCTACCTACTAGTCGATGTAGGGCATCTACCACCTCCCACCACATGGAAAACCCTAGATTATATAATCCGCAAAGCACTTGGTGGCAGTTAGATGAGTAGAGGCTGATCACCATGCTGAGGTCTAGTCAAGTGAAGGGGGGTAAACGTCATTCACAGAGTAACTTCGGAGAAAGAATCAATCAAACCAGGAGAAGGGATGCACTGCAAGGCCGCCACCTCTCACTCCCAAAAGTGAGGCTCCCCCCTGCCCCTGCCACATGGCAGAATTCCAGGGACTTCTGTGGGAAGGAGAGGTGGCTGCACCGCAATATCCCCTCAGGCCAGATGTCTATCTACTCGAATGTGACCGAGCCAATTCAGGTCAAGAAAAACATATGAACTCAAATCACAGAAATTCGAGTCAAATCAAATCAAATCATNCTATGGGTGTCGTCCCCTGTTGCCCCCATGCTTCCCGAGTAGGCGCTCCTATGATTAGTACAATAGTCATAGGCTCATAGCCACCACCTCCACCCACCTCGTTGCTATGCCTTCCTATTGCAGGGAGTTTTGAAATACTCCATATGCATACCTTTTCTTTTTTCTTGCAACATTTATCTCATGAAATGGAAGTTGAGGTTGGGGACCTCTCAATTCTTCCTGGATGTACTGGGGCCATTACACAGCTTCAGCTTGTGCTGGAAACAAGGTCCAGTGTCCCACCATTTCCGAGAACAGAAGTGCCCAAAACTGATACCATGAAGCTCTCACATTACTTTTACCTGCCGTTAAACGACCAGTACCTTTCCCCGCTTGGAAATCAAATACGTGTCGGTATATTCGGGGGCAAGCTGGGATCGGCACTACCAGACAAAAATGGCTGGTGGCACCAGCCAAAATGAGGTTCGTACCGGTTCGTTTTTTTTTTTACCGTGTCGGTCAATTTTAGGTTTGGCATCGATACCTTTCCCCGCTTGGAAATCAAATATGTGCCGGTTTATTCGGGGGCAAGCAGGGATGGGCACTACCATACTGAAATGGTTGGTGGCACCAGCCAAAATGAGCTCCGTACCGGTTCGTTTTTTTTTTACCGTGTCGGTAAATTTTAGGTTTGGCATCGATTCAACTCCAATCCACTCTTGCCACTCAACCTAAAGGCTTTAGCCCTGTGGTTTGAATTGTTTCATTGTGTTTTTACCCGGACTTCATTGAATGGTCATTTAACAAAAGTAAAGAGTCTTTTATTTTGAGGAGTTGCACAAGAGTGAGGTTTGCATGGCCAAAGCGAGGGGTATGAGTGCAGAGAATGGTTGAAGTTCACCCTGTGTATTGTGTTGACTTTTGGTTGAATCTTTGATGTGATTGCATGTATGTTTTGTGGTTCGGACTTTGAATTTGACTGTTTGCGATCACATACATATATATGGTTGAGAGGTCACATACTTACTAGTATGACCTTTTAAATACATATATACATATATGTGCGTTAAGTGCTCGCACGGCCTACTACGACCATGCGTAAAGGTTAAGCAGATTATGTTTTCGAGAGAAAAGGGAGATCCCCTATTTACCTTTGCTTTTTAGAGTTTCTATGGTTTGACGTTGTAGTCCGTGGTAGCCATCAAAGTCAAACCCCTTGAGTTCTCTCTAGACCCTTGATGATGGAGCTGGTCTCCAGGGACATAAGAGATGATTGCCACCACAGGTATGAAGCTGTGTACCAACCACTCTCCGCAGGGTGCAGAAGAGGGTGTGGTTCTCAACCACAATTGGCGGTTGTCTAGTGTTGAGAGATTAACCCCTCAAGGCGCATGTCAGCCGACACTTGAGTGTCGAACACGACCCTTGAAATTAACGAGGACTGCATGAGTACGGGTACTACATAGTACGTCATCATTGCGACTGCTTGCGTATGCTTGCATTGCGAGTCGATATGAGTTAGCCTTGCATCTTCACGGTTTTATACTAACTTGAAGTCTCGCGCACGTCGCCTATCCGATTTCCGCATCGGAGAGTTATGGGATGACTACTAAGGGACTAGGAGTGTTGTCGCGTTGTTTGTTCTGTGTCGTTCTGTATATGTGCGTACGCATGCGTGTTCTAATTTTTATGTCTTTAGAGTGGTGTACGCGTGGTGTGTGGGATTCGTCCTAGTCGACTGACGATGAGTCGCGCTTGGGACCTCAGCTCCCCAAGGCGCCAGGTCGCGTGTGAGTCTGATAGAGGTGTAAAACCGTGCGTACCTGCTATGCTACAACGTACGAGAAACGCCATCGGCTGGTCCACCTCTGCGATTGCAACTGATTAGCTTTCGTACTGTGGACTAGTAACTCAGCGGGGATACGCCCACCGAAGTAAGTCGTGCCTCGCGTTGGCCCTATCCTGTTGTAGGGGCTCGCGAGAGGTATGGCTGGCGCACTCGGCCGGAGTGGCTTGCGGAAGCTCCATGTGTATTCGCGACGAGGAATGAACCAACTCCTAGGATTGTGCGGTGCTGGACCGATGCGCTCGACAACGTAGCCCTATCCTGTCGTAGGGGTTCGCGAGATGTATGGCTGGTGCACTCGGCCGGAGCGGCAATGCTCTATGACAAAGTCCTGCAAAATCCTGCGTGACGCGACCGGGAGGGTCCCCTCTGCAGGATCGATACTCTCGACAACACTGCAAGTGTAAGAGCCTCGTTCCACATCTTGGCTCCCCGTTGTGCGGAGACCTACTGGCGACCATGCGATCCAGCAGGCCTGCACCTGGCCTTCAATATGTCCGCATGCGGTGTGCTGTTTGGGACTCGAGGGACCGCTTGGGGCGAGGTGCAGTGTGGGAGCGTGCGCGTGGCGGGTTTTCAAATTCAAAATTTGTTGGTGGTGCAGTGTGGCGCTCCGCAGCCTACAAAATTGCCACGTGCGCGGAAGTGGACACGGGCTAGTATTGCACTTGGACGCGTGAGAGTGTGGTGTACACGTCGCCAGTTTCCTTTTGCCGGGAGGTGTTCGGTGCGCAGTGGGGTGAGCGAAGTGCCATAGCTCTTCAAGTTGTCCATGGAGGACATACAATTTTCGTCCGTGTCGGTGGACGACTTTCTGCCATGCACGTCGCAGCACAGCGCCGATGGCAGGAAACGGCAATGGAGGTTTGCTGAAGCATGTGCAAACGCCGGTGCAGCAACCTGCAGCAACTGTGCTTGTCTTGTACTGCCATGTGGAGCTGCTGCGGTAGAACATCCCTTGCCCAGAGCAATCCGTCCCAACGGCTACACGCAGCTGCAGCGCGTGACCGATTTGAATCCCTCCACCTCGATGACGGTGCACCATGCGCTTCAACGGTCACCATGCGTGTGTGCCCCAACGGCCCGCTGGAATCCGCAGCCACCACCGCCCATGGTTCCACTGCTGGCACCCGGTACCGCCACCGGTAGCAGTTGCTGGCTGGACCGCAAAAAGGACAGGCCGTGAACCAGGAACGCGCGACCTAAAAAAAAACGAAAAAGAAAACCTGCACCCACGGCCGAGACCCAAGGGTAGCTCTTGAACTCAAGGCACCTCTGGGAGGTGACTTGAACTCAAGTGCGATTTTGCCTGGTCTGCACTTGAGTTTCAAGAGCGGCCACTTGAGATGCAAAATGTGAAAACAAAAAAGCATTTTTCTAGGGCCGGGTGGAACGACGAGTTTTTTTTTTGCGTGGCACTTGAACTCAAGTGGTGTGGAACGAGGCTCTTAAGTCCCCGCTGGGCCAATCAGCGCACGCCTCAATCCAGGGGGAAATTTGCAGAGAGTCAACATGCCGCCATAGCCAAAAAACTGTCTAGCAGAGCTCACGGGTATAGAAAAGACCGATCGCCCGCTCAACGCTTGGGCTTGCGAAACCTACCGGAAGCCTTCCGCAGTCCGCGGGCCGTGGGGCTGCCTCGAGCTGGTACGGTTGCGCTACGTCGCGCGCCTATTATCCCCTCCTTCGTGCCTGCTGTCTGGAAAGTACCGAATGCGGCGGAAGGTCGGTTCGATTTTCCCCCGAATGCCGACGGTCGGCTCGACTTTTCCCCGCCGAGACTGTCGACGTTGGCAGAGGCTGGCCGCCCGTCCTCCGCGGCCGACAAAAAGGGGAGCGAGGGTGTCCTACCTTTACCAATAGATACCAACGGGCGTTAGTTGGTGCCGCCGTGAACTGTTGAAATCCAGTCCGGAGTTCGAATCCAGGTGTGAAACAGATGAACAGCACAAAAGCTTTCACATCGGACCTGGAATCATCGTTTTTTTTTTTCTGGCCATCGACCCTCGTACGGAGCTTGGCCGGCCGAATCTGATTTGTGAATGTGAAGCGGATCTGCGGGCGCGAGTCCACGTGGAAATTCCGTTGCCATCGCGTTTAAAACCGAAGGAGGCGGCTTGGCGACGAGAGGAGAGAGGAGAGAGGAGAGAGCGAGGAGATGCATGTAATTGGTCGGTCTCATCGGTAGCACATCTTCGCCGGATATCTTGGGCTATGGCGGCCATCGGCGGGACGACGGGGGGCGCCATCTCTCTCCCAGTGATTCGAGGGCCTCTGCGTTCCCTCTCTCGCTGTGTCTCCGGTTCCATAGCTCCCCGCGGTGAGAGAATGCTGGCGTCTGCCATAGCCGAGAAAGGAGGCGTTATCCCTGTGCTACTCGCATGTAGGACGTTCAGGACGATGAGGCGATTGTCCCAAAGAGGAGCCCGGGGGCATCAGGTATCAGTGGGAGGGAAAGGGGGCGGCGGGCTGGCTTCGACATGTTGGGTTGGGGGGAAGACAACGCGCCACGTTGCGGCGGCGGAAACGGCTTCATCCGCGCGAAGCTTGGGAGATATGGCGTCCGCCGCCACCGTCGGCTCACCGTTTCTCTCTCCTTCTCTATCCTCCATCTTGAGACGAAATAGTGGGCCGCACCTCATTGGCCGAGGGAAGACACATATAGAGAGATCGATCTCTACACTTAATGGATTAAGGATCGGCCGTAGCCAAAACCCCATAACGACCGCTGAAGCTGCAGGACATGAAGGACAGGCGGGGGAAGGCGGAGAGGGAGAAGGCGATGGGGAAACCTACATGATTACCACTCCGCTTTATTACGTTAATGCCCCGCCGCACATGGGAAGTGCGTACCCGACCATCGCGGCCGATGCTCTTGCACGTTTCCAAGTAAGTTCCATTTTCCCGCCAATTCCCCCGCCATTTCCGCGCCATTTTCCGGCCACTTTCCCCGCCACTTTCCACGTCATTTTCCCGCCATTTCCGCGCCTCTTTCCCGCCTTTTTCGCAGCTGTGCATCAGGACTGCTTTTAAATAAAGTTACCGCATATCTGTCTCTCTCTTTATACCTCTCTCTCTCTCTCTCTCTCTCTGTGTGCGCCTCCTTGTGTCTGTCGTGCACGCGCGGACAAGCAAAGGTGCACGCCGCCTCTCTTTTCGCGAAAGTCCCTTGACACTTGTATTGTTGTAGTACTGCCTTCAAGGAAGGAGTAGAAAAGGAAAGAAAAGAGAAAAAGCAAAAAAACGAAAAGAAGAAGAAAAGAATTAAACAAAAAGAAAAGAAGGAAACCCAAGAAAAAAAAAGAGGAAAAGAAGAAAGAGATTGATCCTGCAGAGGAGCTGTTTCATTTTGTTTAAAGTTTTTTGAAATGAATAAGGGAAGAAGATTTGGTGGGGGGGGGGGGGGGG